TTATCTCATAATTTCTACTCACTGCCAATTTTAATAATCTTTCCGTGGCCTTTGCCACATCCATATTCGAAAATGGAATTAATGAATTTCGAACCGAAGGAATCATCCATTGTTGAAAGAGTCCTAAGACCACATTGATTCCGATAACTACTTCTAGAATTCTCTTCAACAGAAAACGTTTGCTATAAAAACATAAAACATAAAACACAAACTCAAAACTAGCTCGTACTCTAATATTAGGTTCGTAGATTATAACAACTTACCGAATTCGATCTGTTCTGGGAAAGTTAAGTTCGTAGCATAAAGTTGGTGCACATAAGAAATAAAGCAAATCTTTAACTGTCAAGTTATCTGGATAGTGAACTATTGGTGTAACATCGTTGTCTGTTTTATGGAATGCGGCCAAATATGCTCCGTTTCGTTCTTCTTCTACGGATAAAATATGTTCTTGTTAATTTGTACGATATAACAAATAAATCAAATACTTACGCAATTCAGCAACTGTTATCGATTGAGATCTACTTCTTGATTTACTGGGAATTTCATTCAATTGATTTCGACACCACATATTGACTTGAACATAGCTCCAAAGCTTCATGAAAAGTATAGAATAGTGAAAGCATACGGCCATTGCGCCAACTGAAATATATAATTAAATTACTTCCTCTTTTCTATTATAAAAATTACAATTTTTCAAGTTCAAAAAATACAAATTCGTCCTGTAAACACTTTCAATATATTTCATTTTATCTTACCCAGACTGAATGCATTCCCATTCACATGTATAATCACCATTGGAATCAATACTAATACTATGATGTTTATAATGTGAACAAACATGCCAGCACCTTCACGAATTATATTCATTGATAGCCCACGTTCTATCAGTAATGTTATAAAAATTGGTACAATAGAATCTGCAAGAATTATTAAAATTAAAAAAATATATTTAAAATTATTTTCCGTTTACTAACATAATAACAGTATAATTGATGGGACGCCTGCTCCTTCATCACGACCCGTAAGTACAATAAACCATTGAAATGGATCGACTCTTATCCCATATCTGAAACGCACACTATATATTAGTTTCTTATATAAAACTTGCACAAGGTAAATGCACACTTTAATAAATTTTCAAGTAGAAGTCTGAAACCACTCATTGTTAGAAGCAAAAATCCCCAGTTTACTAATCCTGTGAAATTATGAAATCCGGAACTCCATGAAAACAGTGAATCTCTGGGTCTGTGACATCTAAAAATAGAAAACAGGCTAAAAATTTATCCAAATATTAAAAATGCAATAGATTGCTTGAGTTAAACATTATTCTAGTTCATAAAAAAAAAAACAAATCACAACATACACAAATATGACTACGGTTTTTTACGATTCAAGTAGATTATGTCATTAAAACAACCTATTAGTATAAATCCAATGAAAAAATAATGTCTCAAAGGTGATCAACTTTAATCAAATTACCCTACGAGAGTGTAAATTTCACCTTTAAGTTACATGTTCTCAATGTTGTGCTTTTTTATTCTCAATATCATGAAATCTCAATTATTGTCATCTTTTCAAGCTTACGGTTTATCGGGCTGTGATCGACGTTGTTTTTGTTGTTTTGTGGAAATCTCTTCAGCACGAGTCACACTACGAGTTCTTCGTCTAACTTTATTATTTCCAACTTCTTCTGTATCTGATGTCATGGTTTTACTTATAATTT